GATGATTCTCCTCACCCAGTATTTGGCTATTGGGTCCATTAGCCAGTAGCGCTTTGTGAGGGGGAGTATATAAAGTATTTCGTCCGCCTTCCTAGCATGTCTTCGTGGTGTGGTGGTGTGCACGCTGGGTGCCAATTCCAGAGGTTCGCGGCTCGATTCCAGGCGAAGGTGTTGCTCATTTTTCAATCTCTCTTGCTTCCCAAAAAATCCTAATGTCTCTACAGTGGCGCCTGAACTAAAAGGGTGGTGGATGATGACTCTCCACACCCAAGATTTGGCGATTGGGTCTGCTAAAAACCCCAGTTGCCCTTTAAAAGGGGGAAGTATATAGGGTATTACTCCCACCTTCTTGGCGTGCCTTCGTTGTGTGGTGGTCTGCAAGCTGGGCGCATATTCCAGAGGTTCGCAGCTCGATTCCCAGCGAAGGTGTTGCTCATTTTTCAATTCTCTTTCTTCCAAAAATATACCTAATGTCTCTACAGTGGTTTCCGAACTAAAAGGGTTGTGCTTGGTGATTCTCCTAACCCAGTATTTGGCGATTGGGTTCCCTAAAAACCCCAGTTGCCCTTTAAAAGGAAGAGTATATAAGGTATTTCTCCCGCCTTCTTGGCATGCCTTCCTGCTGTAGTGGTCTGCACGCTGGGCGCGTATTCCAGAGGTCCGCGGTTCAATTCTCGGCGAAGGCATTTGCTCATTTTTCATTTCTCCGGCTCTTCCAATTAACCTAATGTCTCTACAACATAATTTCCTTTTTCTATGCTGAATACTGGGAGTTCGACCAAGTCGATCCAAAACAAAAAGATTGATTTATTTAAAAAAAAACTGTAAGCAATTATTTCTGCATTATCTAATCATTATGTATTTCACTGAAAATTTTTATTACACTAACATCATCCTACGCTAGCTTTATTTAACATCGTTGTAATTTTTGTACGCTCAGAAAACATACTAAATCTCTATTTTTCTGCAGCAAGTGGCTACTCCTCACGTTGTGCGAAAAATTCTCCGTTACAAACAAGAGAATCCATCCATCTTCGCATGGGAAATACGAGACCTACTGAGAAATCAGCGAGTGTGCGATGAACAGTCCATTCCCAGCGTATCATCCATCAACAGAATTCTCAGGAACAGCGGACATGTTGTCTTAGATGACGCTATCACATCAAATGGTCAGTTATCCTCCATTTCAATACCTTATTCCCATTAAAACCGTAAATGAATAAATAAATAGTCATATTTATTTAGCTTGAATCTTTAAGCAAATTACTTTGATGAAGAACTTTATAAAAGGCTCTTCCAAGAGCTGGTTGAGCCGATAATCTCGTTTATGGAAAAGTCAGAATTTATCCTGACAAGTTTAAAATAATAGTCAATGAACGTATAAAGTATTTTCTCCCTCCTTTCCAAGTGTCTTCGTTGTGTAACTGGATAGCACGTCCGACGCGTTAATCGAGAGATCCACAGTTCAAATTTCAGCTAGGATATTACACATTTTTCACGTTTCTTGCTTCAAAAAAATCTTATGACTCTACAAGTGGACACGAACTAAAAGGTGGTGAATGATAATTCATCACCAACAGGATTTTGCCATTGGGTCTCCTCATACCTAGGCGCCCTTTAAAAGGGTTGTGTATGAGAAATATTTTCTCCCTTCTTTCGGCATGCCTTCATTATGTAACTGAGCCTGCATCGGAAGATTCGATCGGAAACGGAAGGTCTGCAGTTCGAAACCTGCGGAGGGTAGTGCATATTTTTCACGTATCCTGCTTCAAAGAAAACCTAATGATTCTACAAAGGATGTAAACACAAATGCAGAAAGCCATTTCATTTGTCACAAGCAGTTTATAGATACATTCAGAAAAAGGGACTAATAATAGTCTATGGTACTAAGCTTCGACTTTTTAATAAGACGTATTCTTTTCGAATGATGCTTAGTTATCCCATGATTTTAGAAAAACCTTTGTGCATAGAGAATATGGAACAGAAATGAAAGAAATGCAGGAACTCAAAGATAGCCGCTGTTGTTTACACGCGCAATCTGGTCTGTCTCTGAAAACTTTCTTCCACTATAACCCAAAATAACGCGGAAGCATGGTATTGACGATTGGAAAAATTAACTGGCCACTTTCATGTAGGAATTATTAAATAATTAAGGAAATTTTAAAAGAGTAAAATCATATCAAAAGTGAAACTGAGGAGACTGTCAGAGGAGAATTAGTTAATAAGAAAAGGGAACGAGAATAGAGAAACCAGGATACCGAAAATTATTTATGACAGGCAGAACAGAAAGGCATTTGAATTTATATGAAGAAATGTACACTACTTCTTTTCAACCTGTTTTATTATTTTTAATATTATGCCATATATTACTTTCTTTCTAAACTATTTTATTATTTGTATACTACATGATGTACTAAAATTATTTTTTAACTCGCTTTATTATTTGCGTAGAGTATCACGTATGCATGTACAATTCATATTTTTTCTAACATTTAATAAAACAAAAAATTACATGCGTGCCCATACACCTCTTTATTGTGACCTTGGAAGCGGCCTTTGGCCGGCTGAGTATGGACGTTTTTTTATTAAAATAACGTGGCATATTTGTATGGCATAAAGGACAGGTCGGCCAAATAAGCTGTCGGCCGATACTTCGCTTAAATGTTCTGTTGGCTCAATGGACCTTCTGCTAGATGGATTGGTCGGTTAAGTGTCTTGTTTTCTAAGGGGTTGTCAAGTATCATTCCTAATATGTTGTACCTCAGTCCATAACCAATTAAGTTATCTTGAAATAACATCGGCAAGGTTAATGCAATAAAAATTTCGGAAACCCAGAAAATACAATAAAATAAAATACATTAAAATTGCAACACCATGAAGGAAAGAAAATACAAAAAAGATATTTACTGTACGCAAACAGTATGGCAGGAAGATAAAGTGGTTAAATTTGCAAGCAGTTTGGGGGTTTACAGAGGTGCAAAATTAGTAGAAATAACTGCCAACCTTGTTATCTAAAACGGCCCTTACCTAGTTAGGCATGAAGTCGAACTGGGCAACTCATTCCATGCTGCTTCAAGTCTATGCCACACTTCATCAACCGTATTAGCTGGAGAGGGGTGGCAGGCAAGTCTCTCAGCAACCTATAACTAGATGTTTTTCAATGGGTAACAGATCTGGAAACTGTGCAGGCCAGGTTACAGGTTACGGAGGACGGGGACGCCTGGTGTTTAACATAGGTAAACAGGCGTATGTCCCGCACCCTACTATTCTAGAAACACAATTCCTGGAGCCCAGGAGGCTGCACCGGGAGTTCATTTGGATCTTAAATAAATTTGTTACATGGCCATCAGGGGCTAAACTGATGTAATACATTGTGGGGAACGTAGTAACATATGATATATAAATACAAACAGCCGTTACATAAACACATTAATATGCACATTAAAATTAATTAAATATGACATGGACACAAATGCACAAATTACACACATAAATAAATAAATAAAAATAAATATAAACACAAAGAGGAAAAAAAACATTATCACATATAAACAAAGACTTAAAATTAATATACTAAGCGCTGTGCATAATGCAAACGGGAATGCGTTTAAGTGATATATAACATAGATATGCATATACTACGGGTTACTTATGTTAAAGGTTGTGCAGATGCAAGTACATAGTTTATGCGAAATACATAGTACAAAAAAAAATTAAATAAATGCAGATACATGGTGTACATAATACAGATTGCAAGTACATAATGCAGATAATACAGATAAACAAATACATACGAATACATAGTACTTTGTGCGTAGGACAATAGGTTACATGATACGTGGGATACTTAAAACTATTTAATTAATATACTATACATGATACATATCTTATGGAGGTGCATCATGCGCAATACAAATAAACTACATACATACAGGAATACATAGTGCACTGTGAGTAGGACAATAGTGGTACATAATACTTAGGATTATTTAATACTGATTAATATACCGTACACAAGTACTGATTGTTACTGGAGATATTACGCTTAATTTGATATGCAGATAGTGACTGACATAGATTATGCACCACAGTACATAATGCAGATTGTTGAACATAATACAGATCTCACATAATACAGATACATCGCAGATACATTACAGTCGCCTACTCTGTGTGTGATACAGGTACATACTTCATAATACAAATTGAGGGTTATGCTCGTTACATAATACAGATTGTTATAGAATTAATATGCTTAATTTGAAATGCAGATATTGATTGACTTAACTGTGCAGGCCAGGGCAGAGTTTAAATACTCTGTTTATCAAGGAAAGTTAGAACACGACGTTCAACATGTGGTCTTGCATTATCTTGTTGGATGATGGCGTTTGGCAGGCCTCGAAGGTAGGGTCACTGGACGTAAGATAACAGAATCGTACCGATCTGCGTTCAAATTGCCGTCGATCCGAACTAGAGATGTGCTTGTCGTGCACCCAATGGTTGCCCAAACCATTACACCAGGTGCAGGGCCCCTATGCCGATGTCGAATGCAAGCAGGCGACCTGCGGTCTCTTCGGAACCTCCAGACACGTATACAGCCATCAGAATACTGCACGAAGAACCGGGACTCGTCTGAAAAGACGATGTTGTGTCATTCCTGTGTCCAGCTTTCTCATATGGCGCACCAGAGTCGCCGTCTCTCTCTATGCTGCATTGTAAAGGGAAGCCAAAGCCAATGGTCGTCGTGTTGATATTCCACGCGGCTGCAAGCGTTGACGCACCTTACGATCGGATTGTAGGCGTGCTGCAAACATGCCCATTTCCTGACTAATGGCCCGTAATGTGGTTGTACGGTTTTCTAAGGCTGATCTCACAATATGTCTGTTCTCTCGGACGCTAGTCACAGGAAGGCGTTGAGATCCTGCGTGCAGTTTAATATGACGCTCAGCAATCCATTGATTCATAGTCGCATGACAGTGTTTGGATGTTGACCTTTGCAACGAGCGATATCACGGAACGATAATCCACACTCTTAACAGGTAACGATCCTACCTTTATTGCATTCCGACACTTGCTGGTAAGCATTTCTTTTTATTATTCGAGACACAGCACGATATTCTGAGCAAACTCCGGCCTTATAAAGCGCTTTCCGAATGAGGAATCCACTACACAGCTCTTTCTTATGCAGATATTCAGATATCGTTTGTCCCTCCTGCATCGTCTAAATGGGCTGAAATACTAATCATTTGAATATTCCAACCTCTTCTTCCTTTCATGTGATTTTGACGTTCGTTAAATAATTTCTTCCTGATGTTGCAGGTTTAATGGCCAACAGTGTACTTAATATAAAGATAAATAAATTAGATCAGGTTACATCTGGTTTAAGAGTTCGGAGACAAAATTTAAATGAAATTTAATATATGAATCATTGTATAACAAAACTAAAAACTTTAAATCTTTTCACGACCCAGGAAACACTGGCATACTGTTCAATTAATGGGTCACAATTCACACTTTAAAAGTCACTGCTTTAGAAGGGAAAATTTCCTGGATTATAGTAATCTCCAGTAGAAAATAATTTGATAGATTTCTGTGTCATATCAGACATATTACGCTTGTATTATAAAATAACTATTATTAAAGAATGCGATAAGTAGTTTTCTCTGAGTTTTATTTATCTGATAATACTTCTGTGCATTTTGCAGCTTAGAGGTTTTTGAATTTTACATTAATTTCTCTCCCACCGAACCTCATCGAGTTGAATTTAGGTGGCCTTCGTTTAAATTAAATCATAATTTAAAATCATTTCTTACTTACTTTAGGTGCTCAGCCGCCGAGCTTGAACCCGGTGCCAACGTGCTATACATCTCCTTATTTATTACCAGAATCTCCACTGCTTTCGACTTCTGCTACTGCACTGACAACGACACTGAGCAGACAAAGTAGTGTAGAAGTAGCACCCATTCACAGCGATGGCATCGTCATCGCAAATCCCGGGCCTTCTCGAAGTACAATAGAAGCTTCCCCTGATGCATCCCATTCCATCAAAATGAGTTCCTCACCTCAAAGAGCAGAGACCAAATCTGCTGGAGGTTATTCTATAGAAGAACTTCTTAAACCTACAAGGGGAAAAGTGAAAAGGAAAAAATCAGAATCTGACGATGACTGCGATCCTGAAATCAAAACAGCAATTGGTAAGTTATTAAACGTTTTTTTTTTGTACATTTTATAGTTTTATGAGAAGCTAGAATGAATTTAAAGGTAATATATATTTCGGCTAATCTTTGGAATATGGTAACAGGTAGTTTGGCGATATTTTAGTAAGGCGATAAAGGTTACTAGCTAGGACTTTAGCAGTGCACATGGATAAAGTCAAGAGTGTGCGAAATGCCATTTTTTGTGCAATTCTGGGATGTTTTTTTTAAGTGAAAATAGGTCGACGTGTACATGGATACCGTGTATGTGCAATTCTTAAAAACGCTGCAAGCAGTTTGCGATTCTGCACTTTATCCCAATTTCGCACCTAATCTTCGTCATGATTAAGCATTTTTGTTCCATAAAAGTTCTAGTATAAGCGTAATTCGGCTATCAGATTGTCGGAAAAAATGTTGAGTAAAAAAAAAAAAAAAAAAAAAAAAAAAAAAGCCTTTACTTCGTGAAAACAAAATGGCGTCCAAAACAAAACTAGCAGGTTGCTTGTAGCAGGGTTGGTCGCCAAATTTTCGCAAAAAAAATTCGAACCATAATTCGAAGATTAACCTATATTTCTAAATAAAAATGAAATTTAAGAGTAATTTGAAAACTTTATTTATTTATTATCTGAAGAAATTCGACCCTGTAATGTATGTTCGTAACATCGGAGTTAACTTCAGGATTTCTCAATTAATTAATTGAAATCTATCATGATAATAAAAAGAATTAAGTTAACAAAAAGAATTGTGCCAAAAGAATTAAAGGAAATTTTTCTTAACTAAGCAAACTGATGCTTCCCTTAAGTAGTGAACCATAATATTCACTCCTCTGAGCTAAAAAATGACATATAAGTATTTACACCCTTTTATGTTCTGAAAACAATATTAAGATTTTTAAATGCATTAAACCGGAGCTACGGTACATGATTTTCTTTGAAATCCGCATTTATCTAACTTTCTTAATGCACAAAATATTTTTTCCAAAAATGAGATGTGAATCAATCCTTTTCACAAAATTGGTCCAATTGTATGCTACTTGGAGCGGTTTGTGAAAAGGTTCGGCTGGCATAATTTTATGTGATTTTTGTAAAGATTCGTGATTGTGGTATTTACTTAATCAAGCGGATGTTTAAATGTTTGCTTTCAAGGTATTTAGACAACCCTGCTTTCGAAGTATGTTTTACTGCTCGCTTGCTTTTCAATGCCTTCCTAGATCTAACGCTGAATGTTATAACTCACCACTGAGCGGTAAACAGCGGCTTAATCCCTGAGTGGCATGACCGCCTTTATCCGGTCATGAGATGTTTTGGTCTGTTGGTATATATTAGTTTATAAATTTCAAATATTTTGCTTTTTCACGTTCTTTAATGATGTCAATACCATCGTAATGAATGGAGTTAAGGAAAATGGAGATTAAAATAAGAAATTATACAAATTAACTATTAAATGTGGTTTCAGTACAGGTGTTTACGAGCAGATCCAAAAATACGTACCACTCAGAGGGAATTTTGTCGTTAAATCGATGCGAGTGATTTTGTGCAAACAAATGATTAAGTAAAATGTACTATAATTTATGAGTGCTATTTCTGCCATGTTGACAGCCTATCTATTTTTAATAGGAGCACCTGCAGCGAAGGCTGCCCGGCTTCAGATTCCTGAGGTACTTCCTGCAGAGCTGAATGCACCTCTTCTGACCAGACCTTCTCTTCTTAATGCTAGTAATTCTCAGCTCCACTGCTGGACACCGACTGCCGGCGGGTCCGGACTGTCTGCCTTCTCCTTCCCACGATTTGTACCTGGGGTTGTCACATTTCCCTGTCCTTACTTTCCATCACCGTCTTTACCCCACAATCCAAGTATCTATCCCTCTGTGTATGCTCTTAGAAAAGAATTTCCAAATAAATGAATTTTCAAAGTTACTCGAAAACTTTATTTATGTATTACCTGAAAAATTTTGAGCATGTAATATATATCATTGATATCTGAGTAAATGCCATCATTTTTCAGTCAATTACTGAAATCTGTCATCACAACAGAATTTCGATCATTCCAGCGCTCCAGTTATCCAAATATCGCAGTTTCATGGTCAGACTGCATATAAGAGGTATTTAGAAAGAAATTGTTACAAAGAATGTTAGAATATGATAATGAATATCGGGAAGGCAAACTGTCTGGTACGAAGGAGATCGAAAGAAATTTGAATCATATGGAAAATGAAATTAAATGAATGATTAAATGGCAGTATATATGGTTCTGAATACCTAAATAATAAGATTATATCATATGTTTAAGATGAACAAAAATGATGTAACGAAATCGAAAGAAAGGAAAATGACTATTAGCCACTCAAGCTCAAATTAAGGTAAAAATTAAATTACTGAATGGTTGAATGGCCGTATGTAGGATCCTGAATACCAAATTATGATGAATTATATCATCTGTTCAAGTCTGACAAGAAACGATAAACGAAACCAAAGAGAAATTAAAATAATTATTATTATAAAATGGTTCAGGCTCATCAAACATTGGAACTTTATGACTGTAGCGACAAGAGAACCAAACTCAACTTTTAAGCTTAAAAAGAACTCGAAATATAGTGTTATGTGAAAAAGCATGTGATAAATTTTGAGAAAAAGAGAAAGGTGAGAAAAGGAGAGAGAAAAAAAATGCTTCAAGTGTTTCACTATTAATCGGAAAGTGCGATAAATTCAGCCAGGATATTATATATTATTATATGTATTTTAACAGGGGTACAACACAAAAGCATGCATGAGAATTGCTACAAATCCTTACACTCTTCTCTTCTTAAAAGAAGAATGGAAGACGCAGGAGACTTAATCAATCAAATCCATGGGCTGGCTAGTTAGTGACTAGCTATCATCACCGTACTTTAATTTAGCCCCATTTATACAGATTTTAGGTTTTCAGGAAAAGATCGACTCAAGTGTCTCACAGATTCGAACAACGGACTTTTTCCAATTGGCATCTGATCGTACTAACCTCTCTCACTTCGAAGGCATATATGGAGGACTGTGCTTACACTGTCTCGTCTAAATTTGGAATTTTTACTTGTTCAAATCGGATTACATTCTGACAAATTAGACAATAGACAGGACTTTCGTGCTATAAGAGCTTGGCGAAAGTTTATCGGACTGAAGCCATCAAATGATAAAATAAAAGCAAGAACAGACTTATCTACAATTTATTTGTATTTTGTTTCGAGTTGAAATAGAAATCCGGTTATCTGGACTTCCAAATATCCGAATTACTGCCTAATAGAATTGTTTGTTCTTATCGAATTACTGCCTATTCGAATTGTTTGCTGTCAAGTAAAATTAAGTTTGTTGCTAATTTACTTAAGTGCTTCTAATTCTTCCCTCATTTCATTGATGTAAAAGAATTATAAAGTGCGTATTTTTCCGAAGCTATTACATTAATTTCTATGGATTAAAATACAAAATTGTACTTTTGAAATTTTTCATGAACATTTGTTAGAAACTATACTTTGTTAGAAATTAAAAGGGTAAAATTTTAACAATATTCATTATATTTTTTAATAACAATTTCATTATTTTATTACTGTAAGTAAAATCAAAGTTTCTTTATCTTTAACTTAAAGGAAATATTTTTTTTAATGACAAGTAAAAAGCATTTCCTTCTGGAAACTAAGGCAACTTTATTAAGGCAACCTTTAACTTTAAGCTCTAAATAAGTGTAAAATTAATTTCATTACTTTATATTAAATACAAAAATTAAATTTCACTTCCTTGCAATTCAATAAATACTAGTTGATCTATACAGAAAAAACAAGCAAATTATCTGGAGCTTCCGAAAATGCAAACAGGCTGCGGTCCTACATAGTTTGGAAACATTGAGTTCTATTGTATTCCTAACCTTGTAAAACAAATAACATTAAAAGAATCGCCTCTAATTGAATGAATGACTTTTCTCACTTTTGTTAAGATAAAGTTTAAAAGAGCCTTCATCTTTCACTCTTTCAATACACTTTATTGCTATAAATTCAAAACATTGCCTTCGAAATGCCAGTCTTAACCGTGCACATAATATATATAGTATATATGCGGAGAAATAATAGGTGAAAACGGAGGTCGAGGAGTTAATTTTGTTGAAATTCTGGTCAGGAATTCTCGAGTAATAACACTGCGAACTACAGCATTATCATAATGCAAAATCTGTGAATTACCTGACTAGATTTCGAGTTGTTATTGGTGAGTTGCTTTATGCAAATGCTGCAAAAAACTCAGAAATTGGTTGTTAAAAATTAGGCTAGTTGGCAGAAATTCAAAACGCACAGTATCAAGACAATCGAAACATAACCTTTGATGAGTTTTGCTCGACCTTTAACATGGTCCTTCCTATCTGCCCTTACCTTTCGAGCACTAAATCAACTCATATGCTTTTGTATTAAAAGCATAGATCAGTGTTTTTTAATGCGTTTTAAGAAGGACTGGCCTTGCCAAATGAGGCCGCTAGAACACATTATTTTTCTTAGGACAATTTGAAAAGCAAGAGCCCAAGAAAAATACTCTTTTAAAATTAGTTCTTGTTCAACAAACAATGGTTCTTATTCAATAAATCTCTAATTATTAATTGACTATCACTAAGTATCAAATCTCTGACACGAGTGATAACCTGTTCATTGGTTTAAGTTGGTGATCTATCGAAGCGTGATTCATATTTGATGTTCTAGCTCCCTTCGTTAAGCATTTTGTATTAAATTTTTTTTGATAAAATGTTTTAATAAAATGCAACATTTTAAAATTCTCCAGTAGATAATCCATTGTAAAAATAAAATAAAATGCATATTCTTTCCGCGATTATCTTCGCCGTTTGGAAAATTTCTTAAACAAAAATTATTAAGAATAAATTATATTAAAATAAAATACAAATTATTGAAGAAATATCACTAGATACTGCTGAAAACTACAAAAACTTTGCAAGCGGTTTCTTATAAGTAAATATTTCAAACAAATAATTCCCCATTCATTTCAAACGCAGTACTATACATTTCCTTGGGCATCACTATCACAGTTCAAGCCAAACCAAAGAACTCTAGTACTTCAAATTTTTATATTCAAAGGACATTCTTCGCAGTTTATAAATGCATTTGAGACGATGAGTAAGAATAAAGCAGAAAAACTTCTCAGCGAATTTTAATCAAACATACACAGTATATTTAAAGGAAATGCAATTTCTTATTTTGGTAAAAGGAAACGTTAACATTTCCTTTAATAAGCATCTAGAGTCTATATATCTAACTTCTGAGTGAGAACTGTAAGAGTAGTAACTGCACAGGAGAAGGCTTAAATGTACCCATTATTAATTCTTTACCATGGTCAACTCGACGCTAACATACTACGCCTCCCTTCGGCGGTAACTGAAATCACAGAACTAAATTAAAAATTCGAGGACATGTACAAGTAGTAGAACTAAGTTACAGGGTTCACATATTCCTGTTTTTTAAACCCGCGTCGAAACTAGCTGCAGCAAGTGAATGCAATTAAGCCACGTAAATCAGCAATAACTCACGCAACGGAGGTGACGGCAATAACTAACTATCTCTAAATTTTCTACTGAATCTCGGTTTTAAAACTCTTTCTTCACAAGGTAGAATTTAAATTCATTCATGCACGCTACCAAATTTAAATATTCTGGCATTAATAATTAGGGGAATGACGGCTTATAGAAAAGTTTAAAATTAAACTTTAAAATAAATATAAATCCCTCCAAACAATAGGATTTCCTTTAAATAGGATATTTACGCGCTAAAAGTTTATCTTAACTAAAATTTAAAAAGTTAAAGTTTATCTAAGAGCTTCAACGAAGGGAAATTAAATTTCCCTTCGTTATTAGTAAAAATTATTACGCGTGTTTTTTTCTCATTTATCCAAATGCTGAATCTTCCGTAAATTTTAAGTAATTTCGACAAAGCTTTTAAGATTACAATTTTGTAAAACATTTTTTAAAAGTCAGTCAAGATTCAAGATGTAATGTTACCCAAAATATCTTTTTACAATAAGAGAAAGTAATTGATTTTATGGTAACAGTAAAAAGTTATAGATGTGAATATAAAATTCCCTATCATCTTTACAAGTAAAAAATAATGAATTAATTATAATAACTTATGTTTAGAGGTATCCTTTTTTTCTCTCGCAACTTTAAATAATGTCTGTTGACTAAAGTTGATGCATTCGAAAACCGTTTTAAGTGGATTAATTGTTAAAAGAGATAATTTGCTTGATTTCCTTTACTACAAACGAAAACAAATAAAAAGTATGATGTAGAAGTTGTAAAATGTATTCGAATTTCAATAAATCGACTAGAAAAAATTTCGAATAATCGAAAAATTGAGTCAAGACTTTCCACTGGAATTATTAAATAATTCACAAAACCCCAGAAAATGCAAACAACATTTGCATTAGTGCAAATATAGTGCAAATAACATCGTAGCATTTAAGATTTCCAGAGTCGTAGCTAGGGTTTTCAGCGCCCAGGGACAACTGAAGATTTCGCGCCCCCTATTGCTTGCCAAGGATGGAAAACATTTAATTCTAAGATGTCGTAACATCAGTTTGGCGCCCCTTGGATTCTGCGCCCGGGGACAGATGCCCCCTCTTGCCCCCCTCTAGCTACGCCGCTGAAGATTTCTATAAAAGAGAGCCTTTTGTAGCTATCTGATTTGTTGAAAAGAAATGTAAAGAAAATAATATCAAACCCTTTCGGTGAAAAAAGAATACTTTTCTATCAAATATTTATATATTAAATAAGAAATTAAATAATTATATATAAATAAGAAAATTAAATAATTATATATAAATAAGAAATTAAATAATTTATATAAATAGAAATTAAATAATTATATATAAATAAGAACATAAAATAATT